TTTTGCTTTAGGACACTGTTGTGGCATTTGACCTGGGGTCAGCCATTGCATTTTTCTTTTCCGGTTATCATAAAGAATCCACTTTTCATCACATGTTACAATTCGATCCAATATTCCTTCATGTCTGTACCGGTTCAACAAGGCAACACAAGTTTCAACACGCGTTTCTTTCTGCAGATCAGTCAAATCATGAGGCACCCATTTTTCGTATTTTTTTATTTTATTGATTTGACGCAAGTGAGTCAATATTGTGGGTAAGGTAACGTTAAACCATGCCGCTAATTCCTGGGTAGTTTGACTAGGATTGGCTTCCACTATCTCTCTTAATTCATCGTTATTCACCTGTGTGGGCGGTCTTCCTCGTGACTCGTTCTTTAAGTCGAAATTTCCATCACGAAAGCGTTTAAACCAAAATCGCACGGTGCGTTCATTAGTAGACCCCTCTCCAAACGCAGCATTGATATTGCGGGCTGTTTCTGCCGCGTTAGTTCCGCGTCGGAACTCGTATTCAAAAATCACTCGAATTTTCGCAGTATCCATCTTTCTTGTCTAAATTGAATAACAAAAACAATTGAAAGTCGATATTCAAATGTTTCAAATTTAAAAAAAAAAATCACAGAAACCATTTGAAAAAGTTTCATTCGAAAACCTCAAACCATGAAGATTCTATGAAAATTCAAAGAACCTATTGCAATAAAACGGCAATTTCATACTTTAACCCCTAATATTCACATTACTGCTTGGTGACAGAAATAGGTATGGTGGCAGTACTAAGACAGTAAGGCAGTAAGAAGCTCTACTGCTACACAAAATGCATTTTAAATTATTTAATTATTATTAAATTATTTTAATTTATTTTAATTATTTTAATTATTATTAAACTTTATTTTTATTATTTTAATTATTATGAAACTTTAAATACATAACATTACTTAACGACAACACTATTTGAACGCTATTTTAACTAATGTCTTTGCTACTGTTTTCACACTCTTTGTTCCTATAACACTACCATTCATTACTTTATAAGAACACTACAGAGCTTTTGAAGTTTGAAATATTTCTCTTAAGTAACATTTGAGTGCCGTGATGGATCTTCCAAAAGTCAATGACAAATGGACACCATTTAGACAACAAAGTCGGTCGTAAAGCAGCGGGAAAGACATTGAAACAACATCTCAATTACTTGTTGATTCTTTTATAACGTTTATATGACCGTTTAACAGCGGGACGTTGTATAACCGAATTAGATTGAGGATACAGATATATTGATGACTGTATGTTGTTCAAAGTTTTGTTAGCTAGCTTCTACAAACTATCAAACAGAGAAATGCTTTAAAATACGGAAGTATCCAAGGTATTATTTTTTGTATGATAATAACGCGTGCACACACTCTTAGTTTCGCACTAGGGAAACCCTGTATTGCGAGTGCCATGGATACACATATAGACAACCACGAGTTACACCCAAATTCACGAGAGAAATAGATGTAGGCCACACAAACATTTCTCCCGGTCCGGGAATCGAACCTAGACCTCTGCGTGGCAGTCCAGCGTGGTAACCGTTCGGCGACGGAAGCAGGATGATCCATGCGACGGAACGAGCAAGTCGTGCGCTTGAGGGTAAGCGACGCACTTGTCCATAACAGTTGCAGTGCCACTTAGATCTTGAAATCCTAAAGGTCTGAGGGGCACTGTCAATACGTCCGTCACTCTGAGACAAGTTGGAACGTCCCGGGTGCCCCTAATTTCACCAGCACCCTTACCCTTCAAAACTGGAACGCAGTAGTTCTCACAATTCTGCTTGACGCCAGAAATGGGTCAGGTGGCAGTACGTCTCTCTCTAGACGACCACTTCAACTCTACTAAAGACTACTGCCACTTTATGATATCGTACCCTTGATGATTATACATCAATCGTGTTTTTAAGCGACTTCAAAAAAGGAGGAGGTTCTCAATTCGACTGTATGTTCTTTATTTTTTTTTTGTATGCATGTTACGCGATAATTCCGGTATTTGTGAACCGATTTTCATGATTCTTTTTTTGTTGGAAAGGGGGTACTTCCATAGTGGTCCCATTTCATTTTGAAGAAAGTCATCCACCTCTAAGGGTTGCTGTTCACGCATGAAGATTCATTTTTATAAATAGCGCCTAACTTTAAATTTAGGAGCAGTTATTTTAATGGTTGATTTTGCTATTTCTCCAATTCAAGGCGTTTTTCTCTCAATATTCTTTGAGTAGTGAGAACCGATTTGTATTATTTCCAGTGTCAAGTCCTGTCTAGTGGCGAACTAGGGGATATTTCAATAAAACTTAGCAAATAGACGCAATTCCACGTACTTTTGAGGTCGGGTTTTTTAGTACTCTGTACTGAGATTATTATTACATGAAAGTCATAAAATAATACAAACTACATGGAACAAATTATGTATATGTGAAATTTTTAAACTTTCCTATATAAGAGTCAACAGTCAGCTTGAATTAAAATTTTTCCCGTACTAATACGGTTCATTTTGCTTGGGTCGAGCGGCCGGGACACTGGCTTTATTTCACAATTTTTTGTTTTACAAACGAAATTAAGTCCATTTGAAAAACGTATATCATATACAAACGTGTAACGTGTAACGATATAATACATATTTAAACGTGTCCCATTTAGTTCAGTTGATATAAAAAATCATTGGTATAAGTATGTAAAGTACCTATTGAATACAACGCTTTTCTTATAAAATTTCGAGATAAGTTGGTTGTCGAGTGTTTTTTCTGTTGTTAAAATTTTTTTGGAGTCGTGTTTTCACACAGCATAGTAATCAGTGTATATCCTCAACTTTACTATATATTATTTCCAAAGTGATTCATTCAACACTTGCATTGTTATGCGGAATTAACCAAAGCTATTTGAGGTTGTATCGGCTTTTCAGTATAAAAAAGTCATCGAATAATTTGGTTCGTAGACTCTTGAAAGCTCTTACCTGAAACTGTCACTTTGCAGATGTGGTTTTATTACATCAAGGGTGAAAAATATCGACAGCTTTCTACAATAACCTTTATGATAATAAGATTACTGCACAGCTTTGACGGTAAATATACATGGAAGTGATTCCTTTAACCCATTCAAAATGCTTTTATCTTTGATATCCCTAAATAAACACCGCGAACGATAAATGTGAGCAAATATCAATTTATAAAGAGTAATCCCTAGAGTTTTATATTTATACTTCTTAAGGTAATCTACTTTTTTGTTATAATACCAAGTGACGTGACAAAGAAGTCGTGCGCCTGGTGGTAAGCGATACGCCGATCAATAACAGTTGTAGTTGCCACTCAGAGCTTTAAATCGCAAAAAATTTAGGGTCACTGCCATTGCGCCCGTCACCTTGAGACATAAGTTGACAAGTCCCATGTGCCTGTAGTTTCACCAACACCCTTACACTTGCAAACCGGAACACAGTAATGCTCACTTTACTGCTTGGTGGCAGAAATAGTTAAGGTCAGTACTTCGCTAAACGAACTCTTTCACAAGCATCTCTGCTGTTACTAAAAATTACCTTACGAATACGTAAGGTATTGTCTAATCAATTTGATGATTTCAAGTGTAATTTTCTTCATCATCATCGTCATTATTGATTAATAACGGTCCGGTCCTCAGCTTGACGAATTCATTTGTTGCCAGCAGCACAAATTACTTAAGAGGGAACAGAGGAAAAATTCCTAATCTACGATTTGATTTTAGAGTAAAGTTAAAAATAAAATATTGTATGAGTAACTACACGATATATTCAACCATAGACATTAATCAGAGGCATAAAACAGTAAAGTTTCCTCGATAGATAAAAATCACGAAATGACCTCTAATTTTCTCATTTTTTCGATTTATCCTCGAAATGCTACAGGTTATTAGGACAAAAATTAGATAATTAATTATATTTATGCATGATCGACAACTGTCACTACGGGTTTTTCTTTTTATCCCTTTAGTTTTAGAGTTATTCCGCTAAAACGAATTTGGTACTTTTAATGCGCAAAATTCAACATCTCCTGGCGCATGTCACGCGAACTTCAGGCATATATTTGTTTCACAAATTTGGACGGAGCCAACGTCAAAACCTTTTTGGCACGAGAGCTCTTAACAGATACATCACTCTTATACAAAATCGGAAATACGCACACTATAATAGCATACAAAATTTGACTAATGATACAGGTGCTCATTACGAGTAAAAAGGAACCCAAGCACCCGCTCAGAGAGGTGAAAATAACGTTGTCCACCATGTGCAGCCGTGCGGAGCCGAAGTCTCATAAATGAAATATGAAAGACTTGTATGCTTGTGCTGATATCGGTACAGTTAGCGGTAGGCATTTAAGGCGTAACCTTGAGCGAGGGCCGGAGCCTTGCCAGCAGTCTTTCGCAGATAGTTCATCTGGCCATAGGGCGTTCTACATTTCTACACTAAGTTTGACGAGCCGTGGTCTTCATTCAAGAACTCGTTTCCCATATTGGTAATCGGTTCTTCGACAGATGTGGCCAGCCCATTGTCACTTCCATTTGCTTATCCTACCAGCCGTGTAGGCGACCTTGATTCTCTGTCGGATGACATCATTTCGAATGTTATCCTTCAGAGAAACTCTGAACATTGCTCAAGGCGAGAGCGAGTAGGCGTTATGTAGCGTCGAGCGACTTCTAAAGTCATTCAACTCTGTGGCCGAACGGTTTCCAATACTGGTGTGCCACGTAGAGGTCCCGGGTTCGATTCCGGGGCAAGAAGAAATATTTGTTCGGCCTATATTTAATTTTCTCGTGAGTGTGGGTGTGATTTGTAGTTTTTGTGTTTATGGCACCTGCGCTACAGGGTTTCCCTAGCGTACTATACTTATTGATATTATAACAATCGTTAAGATTCCATAAAAATAAATCCCACTGTAGTCAACTTGGTATGTGAAAGATAGTAATGTAATGAAAATTGTAGAAAATCACGATAATTAATTTCTTAAATTACAGATACAGTGTCCCTCCACTACTGCAATCGCGAGGTTCAAATTGCACCGAAAGGCCCTGATAGCGAGGGCTACATCCGTACGCCCGGATATCCGCATTTTTACGTCGGCGACGAGTGCCGGTGGCGGCTCAGGACAAATCCTGAACAGCGAATTCGGATCACGTTGTTGGACGTTAGTTTGAGAAGTGAGTTGTTTGTTATTAAGCAAGTTATATAGATTATTTCTTCTTAGAAAATGGAAGTAGATACCACAGGTTTTTTAATTTATTGTAGGAACACCAACAGCATGTGTATTAAATCATTACATAATTATTAACATAACTGATCACAAACATAATTCTGGTGCACAAGACAATCATACCTACACAACATTCAAAGACACTAGAGCAACACTTTCCTAGTATGACTAGATATAATACTAAATAAACGTAAGAGCTATAACAATAGTAATATTATATTAATTTTAACTTATTGGAAGATCAACGGCTATCTTACAGGGTAAAAACTGAAATAATATAATGGAGAGCCAATTATAGGTCTGCACCAATAGACACACATTAAGTTGATTAAGGACATTGAAGCTATTACTCGCACGCAAGAGATATGCATTTCGCCGAAAATTCGAAGAGGCCAGAGGTGCGCACAGCGTCTTTGCAGGGCTCTAAGGGAAATCTTGTACACGTGTTCCGGGGAGTCCACGGCGCCAGAAGCAATTTTACTAAGTCTGCTATCTGACGTCGCACCTCTATTCTAGATTAAACAATCAATCACTTAATGAGCTAGGCCGAAAACATAGGTATATTTTATAATGCTGGCCGAAGAGCGCCTTCAAATTAGACGTTTATAGAAGCGTGGTGCGGCAGCCGCGAGTACGTTTCTTCACTTATTGTGACTGCTTACACAAATGTGGCCCGTGATACGACTAAATGTGTGCGTTTAAACGAAAAGCACTTAAGTTTACTTTTTAATATAAGCACACAAACACGCTTATAATTTTAAGTTGTAAGCGTTGCTCAGTCCAATACTCAAAAATTTCATTTTTTACAATGTGTTTAAGTGACAATTATGCCACCAGTTATGTTTCCTAAATAAATTAAAACAAAAAACTTGTGTTTTGCCATTGACTTACAATTGTTTTGCAAATAAATTTACTTTTTTAAAGTCTACAGACGCCTATGTGTAAATCATGTCAACTCAATGTTTGCAACATTTTCTCAACATAAGGTCTTATGGAATTAAACGATTTTGTAAGCTACAAATTAAAAAGCGTTTGCTTTTATAAGCACGAAAGCATTATTTAAAAAAGTAAACCGTTTTAACGTTTAAAATCAATGAGCAGTTTTCCCACCTCTTGTCACGACTGTGGCGCTGCGACTGCACTTCCAGATGTAAATTAGTAGTGGCACGTCTGTGGCGCAGCTGCAGTCGCCGTGCCACTATAGCGCTTCTATAAGCATTTATATATATATATATTTCGCAAGGTATACTGGTATATAAATATAGGTATATAATGTTCTTTACATAAATGTTACCTTTTAGTGATAAATAATATTGTCTTTTGTGGAGTGGTAGATATTTCTTTTTTCACAAGCAGAACTTAATCTAATAAACTTAATCTAATATATCGTATCTAATGTATCGTATGTATCTAATGTATCGTATCAACGATTATACGACGGGCTATATTACTATGAACAGGTCTTGTGATACTTAGTTTTGCTACGTCCACCAATAGCGCCATATCTCACACTGAAGAAACACCCTATTATGTGGACACTTATCAATTCGATCTTAATGAAATCAATCACGTTTCATAACGGATTCAAACACAATGCAATTCTCAAAACTCGTTACTTAAAATAGTCACTGCAATCATTGTGCTTTATAGGTTTAGATGGAAGGCTCCTAACAGATGGACTGCATGCAATTAAGGGTACATACAGTCGAGACTGAACTGTGTGTAAGCGTCAGCTACAGTCGACACCATAGATAGATAGAATATATAATAGAAATACCATAGATAGGTAGAACCATAGTCCGAAAATCAGACACTCTTCAGAGGATTTATGATTTTTTATGTCTTATGCGATTTAATTTTTTACTGTAACAAGAAAAGGTAACGATTACTTGAGTGTTTATTCAACATAATAGTGAAACCGAAACACGATTAATGAAACTTTTCTCGGTGGCTTAATTTCACATTTGCACAATTATTTTTATTTTGTAATGGCGTCTTTGTTTACATTTTCGCAAATTCCAGCGCTAAGTGTACTTAAGGGGATTAAGGACATGAGTTTGTTTACAAATAAAATGGAGGATTGCGATAGTGATATTTTTATTTCAATATTAATAAAAAATAAAGACCGCATTTGGAATCGCAAATGTTCCGAATACATTGATGTTTCAAGTAACATTTGTACTTTAATTTCGGCATCAACAAAGCTACTAAGCTAGGCGTATGACGACAACGGAGTGTGGTTGGTGTCAACTGAATGCAGTTGTAATTATTGACTTCGCACATGCAGTCCGTTTGGTAGCGGCCTTACTTATTGATTTCAATCAAATTTATTTGCAGTGCAGCTTCACTTGAAATGTATTACCGACGCTGTATACCTAATAATAAGGGTGTATCTCTAATTGGCCTCAAGAATGCAAAGATTCTGTTGACAACTTTGTTTTCTTTCAGGTTTAGGTCCATTCGACAATGATTGTACAGACTACGTCACAGTTCAAGACTCAAGCGGGGCTACATTGTTCTCTTCGTGCGAGCAGGTGGATCTTCCCCTTCGTTTAATATCGTCGACAGACGACAGTGAAGTTGTGGTCAAAGCCAGATCCGAAGGCGCTTATCCGAAGAGGGGAATACTGCTGCATTATAAAAGTAAGTTGTTACCCCGAAATACTTCCTGCGAAGCCGTAAAGTAAAACTTGTCTAAATTACCTACATTTTGTAGCTATCTCAGTGGCGGATTTGTAGTTTTGGCCGCCCTACGCCCCAGGCCATGCAGTCAGTACGAACCGCCCCTTTCTCAGCACTCATCATATACTGGTAGACTACATAATGATTTTCACTGTCACCCTGCCTATTGGTAAAAATCGCATGAAAATCCGTTGAGTAGTTTTTGAGTTTATCGCAATAAGACAGACAGACAAACGCGGCAGTGATAATATGTAGTGACATCACATTATAGATATGTAACATATGCATATTTTATACATAAAATGTACGAAAGTGGTTTAGAAAGATTATTGTCATACGATGTGGTGCAGTGCGGTCCGCCATAATGTGCGTGAGCCTTTACAATATTTAGGTACTTTGATTTATTTCTTGTTATCACCAGTGAGGCCCGGGCCTACTGGGCCTTAGGGCAAATCCGCCACTGAGCTATCTATTTCCTAAAAGGGCCTCATTCATTGATGGGCGGGAGTTCCTAAATGGCTACCGTGAAGATGTAACGATTTCCTGCGGAAAATGCCAGAAAAAAAAACGATACTGGCACTATGGTTAATAAGCCTTAGCCTGTTCCGAAGGACGAAAAATTAAAAAAAAAAAAGTACTCATTCATTGGCGAAAATTATCGTTTTGACCACGTTAGCCGACAATCAGATAATGTGACAAACATTGTACGTTAATTTTTATTTCTTCGCTACCTTTTCTCGTTTCGGTCGTCCAATTTTAAGATACCGCGTTGCTGACGGTACGTTAAGCACTCTATAAACGATTCAGTTTGTCAAAATAATATCAGTACAGATTACTAAAAAAACCGACCTCGAAAATTCGTGGAATTACATCTATTTGCCAAGTTTTATTGAAATCGATTATCGGTTACATTATAAGGGCGCAAACTCGGATTGATCCCCTAGTTCGCTACTGTACGTGACTTAACACAGGAGATAATAACAATCGGTGCTCACTGCTTAAAGTAATATATTGAGAGAAAAAGCCTTAAATTGGAGCGAAGCAAAATCAACCATTAAAATAATTGCTCCTTATAAAATTTTGGCGCTATTTATAAAAATAAGTCTTCATCCGTGAACATTCCGCCGGCCGTTTAAAGCTTGCCATTCAACCAGTACTTGCTTCAGGAAATGGACAAATTTTTGAAAAGGATCTTCTCACAATTCCTGTAGAAGTTTTGATATCAGCCACTCTATAGACGCCATCAGTGCCAGGAAACACGAGCTGTAGCTCGACCCAATTTCCATTTTAACGGTGGTAGGTTGTTCTCCTTTAGAACTGCTAGAGCGTTCATCTTCAATGCGTCTTTACAAGTACGCCATTTAATCCTCAGTTGAAGCTCTTAGGGTCGTATTCCAGAACTCTACTCAATGCCCAAGTCAGGACTTGAGCAGACTTGAGTATGATTTCAAGCACTGGAATACGACCCTAACGGCAAGGACTTGAGTATGATTTTCAGTGCTCACTGCAATACTCAAGTTCTTACTTGGGTATTGAGTAGAGTTCTGGAATACGACTCTTAGACATATTCTTTGACTGAATGGCCGGATTGCCACGCAGAGTTCTCAGGTTCGATCCCCGGGCCGAGAGAAATATTTGTATGTCCTACATTTGTCTATGTAAGTGTTCATGGCAACCGCGCACCCGTAACACAGAGTTTGACGATGTTTGCTGCTAAAGTAGACCGAAATGATGCGCTACGTTGCCACAACTATTTATTATTTATATCATATTATGTGCCGATTACCCATAAAATATATACACAAATGGTAAATCTGGATAAATTTCTAATTAATTTGATAGCAAGTTTGATAGAACACAATTATGAGCAATTTATTTTCGTGCCTTTGAGCGCCATCTGTTTGATAATTGTTGAAACTTAAAATAAAATGATGTGCACCGCCACCTACTAACAAACTTTAATACTACTGCAGGTATTGGCTGTGTAACGCTAGCAGCGCCATCTGATGGCTATCTAGTGTATCGCAACGAGGACGTAGCGCACTACATGTGCAACGTGAACTTTGTTTTCGTCGACACGCGACAGAGGACGCGGTTTATATGGTGCTATGACGACAATAGTTGGAATGACACAGTGCCTTTGTGTGTTGGTAAGTAATTTTAAATAACATTTTGTATTGTTTTTAACGATTCGATATTTTGGTTTCTGACTTATAATCAGGGCTGGATTTACCGCTAAGTCCGCTAAGCTTCACCCTAGAGACGCATGCGTTTAGTGTTTTAATTATTTAATATAATATTTAAAAAAACTGGGGAGCGTTTTAACTTTAAATCCATCGCTGCTTAAGATGCAATTAAACAGCATTACCGAAACGATAATTAACAAAAAATAAGCATTTTTAAGTTTGAATCTAAAAGTGCTATTTATACATACTATAATTATTTGATAAATAACGAATTGGTTTATTCTCATATTTCAAGAATTTGTTCCCAGAATACATATCGTATCTTGGGAAAAGCTATTTTATTCGTAACTCGAAATAAAGTTGTTTGAGGTTATGCTTATCATATGCATATGCACTGTTTGAAGGGGAAAAGCGCACATGCGCGTTGTTGTCGTGTGCTTTCTCTTTTCCTCGAGTTCTAGACCAAACAACAGAAAGAGAAAAATTATATATGCCAGCTACGTCTGTGCTGCATGTGTGATAATAATTGTCAGCTATTCTAATTTCAACGTTAAGTGGTTCATACAGAGTCGTTTGTTGATTATAAGGGTTAGTTATTATTATTTAAAAGTCGCTGAAGGGCTTCGCTCTTCATTTTGGTAAATAAGCAAGGGAATTTCATTCATTCGGTCTCTGTCCGCGGCGGGCATCGTTCGTAAATTGAACGCGTTACGCTTGTCACAGTTGCGTCAAAGCACGTGTTGAGTTGACAAAGTGAGTTCATTTTTTTTATCGTGTTTCTAAAAATAATTATTCTTTTCAAGTGTTCGATTTCCTCGTTTATGAAGCGTTCTATAAGTATATTGTGAATTATTTATTAGCTTTAGTCTAGTGTTTTCTATGTGATGTTTTTTTATTATTATTTTATCACTGAGTAAGTAGCCCGACTGTCGAATACAATACCAAGCGAAAATTATTGTTTGTAGTCCTTCGTATTAACCAAATAATAATTTGCAACTCAAAAATCAATGGGAAATTGAAGAATATAATCTACTTTTTTTGTAATAGTAATAATAATGTTTGTGTTAAACAATATTAATAATTAGCAGATCTGAATTTGACGTACTAGGGTCACTTGAGAAATGAAATTGGCACTACTTAGACCACCCAGACCAGAACCAGTTTAGAAATGTTCGTTTATTAAATTTATCTTTCAGGGAATAGAACTGCTTACCACAAGGCCACTGGGCTAAACAGTTGGGAAACTTTATTTATTTGTATTTGTAATCAACGACAAAGTGCTCAAATATTGGGTTACGTAGGATTGAACTTAAATATCGACTTTATGTATTATTTTAAACTAAATTTATTTTACAAATTTAATAAACTTTAAATTAATAATAAAATAATATAATAAAATTAATTCAAATTATATTTAGCAATTAGCCAGTAGTGGACATCGAATTTCCTTAAGTTAAAGTGTGATAAAATTGCATATCTATATATACCTATGTAACTATAGACTCCATACTTTTATGCATACCATAATGTTCTATACAAGGTGGTAGGTAATATGAATTATGATCATTATGGACATACATTTACATACCTACCTAATAGGCTCTATGGGAAACCCCAGGGCAGCTACCTCGCCCAGCGCATTGGCATAGCTGTACAAAGGGGGAACGCTGCCAGCATCTTGGGCACCTTGCTCGAGGACCCAATTTTATTCGTATAATAAATCCTAGTTTTAATTTCTAGTATTTCAGCGTGTATTGTACCTTACCTGTAAATTTGAACTTATTGTCTAATAAAAACATAATCATACTTACCTATCCACTTAACGTATCTACATACATACATAGTTACTTACCAATAGATACAGATGTTGATTTCCAAAGAAAATCACTATATAAATATGATATAAATAAAGTAAGTAGCAGATAACCTTATTTATCTTATTCGTACTGGTAGATAAGCGTATTTGAGTGTTGGATTGAACTTTTTTTTTTCAAATTGTGATGGGCGTTGGTACTGGTGTGTAGAAATGGGGTTGTTTCTTTGCATTGGTCATATGGGAATGTTGGATATTAGTGTATTAGCACATTTATCGACATGCCAAAAGACGTTGTGAGTTTCGCGTCGGGGCGGTCGCAGCCAGCAACGAAAACGCGACTTTGTGACAAAATCATTTTTCGAAATTATTTAATGACATGTTTTCTATGCATCTTTAGGGTAAGTACCGATATGTCGGACATTTTTTTTTATACTAAATATTATTATAAAAAATATTTGTTATACTAAAGGTTATTAATTAAGTTATTACACAGCTTCCGCGTACTTGGATGACAATACTCCATGGTGGTGACCCGTTGTCGGACACTAACTGTTTTTAAATAGAAGTCAATGTCAAATAATCTTTATTTCATAGGTCAGCAAATTATACTTGAAGTCGTCTTATTGTTTATACTCTACTGCTGCTCATACGAGGCATAATCCTCTGAGAAGAATGAGCAAGAAACTCTAGAGGTTGTTCAACGTAAATATGCATTTAAATACATCTGTCATTTTACAGTATTTATTGTACGCAGAACCTATTATAGTTTTATACATCGTAAATGGTAAATTTTGAATATCAACCGGAATCTTATTATAGAAGCGTTTGCATTGTACCTTAAATGAATTTATGACTGTGAGGGCGACTGTCAAGTACAAGTAGTACATTTTAGAGAATTTTGAGCTCTATGTTATGGTGTTTAAGACGGATATTTCAGTGCCTCCATTGAAAAAGGGAAGAACTCAAAATAGTCACTTTTCAGGAGAGGCAAAAAACCATACATTTAATGATTATTGGTTGTTCGCATTTATTATTAGTACTTTTTGATTTCTAGCTTTAGGTATACATCTAAGCTTCGTTTAATGGCTATGGGTTAAACATTCAGTCATATTTTCTATATATTTTTTAGTTTTTTTTCGAGTTGCGTCCTTGTTTATGAATGCTTAAGGGTAATAACACGACTTATGTTAAACATAATTCAACTTATTCCCTTAACTGCGCCTGTTCTATGGTTATAAAGATACTTATAATACTAACCACATTGATGAAAGACATAAAATCGTTAAAGGAATAAAACGACTAGTTTTCTGTTGCGAACTATTAACCAATAGCAACACGGTGTAGTCGCGGGTATGACCAATCCTGTCCAGTGGAACAAACGGAATGCTCAGTTATACCTTTATTTACACTCTGGAATAAGGCAATAGTCGCTTTTATTCCTATTTTTTTTCCCAGTCACTATGGAATAATACGAAAAGTGTCTTTAAGTAAGAATAGATCGGTACTCATTCGTCAAACTTGCATGTATTTTTTGAGTTGAGAGCACTTGTACCTTTAGACTCTAGAAATATCCCCGATAACTAAAATTATGCCTTAAAACAGTGAGTTATGGCCTTAGTGCAATAAGAAAAACGACGTTAGGACACTGCTAGAGAGATGTCCTATTGATGTGTTATGTAACCGGACACGCAAAAGTCAATGGTGCAATAATAAAAGGGCACTCGTCTTACTCCGTTTGTCACTGGAGGCACTGATTGACCACTTTGTTTGAGAAGGAGTAGTGGGAAATAAGATAAGAAAAATTTATTTCAATATAACTTAATCTAATACAATATAAGTAAAAACAAATGTAAATAACGCTATTATAGAATTAACCGGGAAATCTAGATTATACATTCTTCATAGTATAGCTATTATATATTTTAAAGCATCTAATGTGTAATCGCAATGCCTAAATTAAGTAAATATATACCTGTATTTTAGGCATCTTCTTATGCAAATTTCTTTACATTACAGCTTAAAAATAGATTTTCTATATTTAACAATAAAATAATTAGGTAGTTTTAATTAATGGTTACCTATATAAAACAACAGTGTTATTATGAAACAACTTCCAGCAATCTTCTGTTTCATTGTAAGTCTTACTCTTAAGCCACAATTTGACGGTCATTTTACATTCTATTTTATTCATGGCGAAATAATGCAAATTAGAATTTAATTTAAAGTAAAGGTATGTACCAAGGAAGCAAAAGAATCTATGCGAGTGTGCTGTGCGGAGTAGTGCACGAGATGAAAAGGTATTGAGTCGTCTTTGGTTGATTAAAGTAACAGAATCAAATGGAGTAATTGAGTGCTTTTTCAAAATTATTTGTTGGATACACAGTTGCCGAACCGAGAGGACATCGCACTCGTTTAGGAGTTTGCGGGTTGGACAATCGAAAGGACGGAAGTTCATGACTTTAAGAACAGCTCTCTGCGCTCTTTCCAGGTTTATCAGAGTGGTCTTATGTGCACCGCCCCAGGATGTAATGCAGCAATTATTGACAGAAGGCTAAATACACTGATTTGAGAAGTACGCTGCTAGCTGCATATCTTAAATTTTAAAAACATGTATCAATTTTCGAACTCTAGAAGTAAGCGCTACAATGTGGTGTTTGCAATTTAGATGATTGTCAATTATGACACCTAAATATTTAATGTCGTTTGTGCTGTCCAGTGTTGGACAAGCACAGAGGTTTATATGAGTTCGAGGGCTTGTACAATGGTGAGGTACTATTGAATAAGCATTCTCAGGAGGTTGTGAGAGATATTGTATGAGAAAGTCATATATCTAGTTTTGCTAGTATTCGGTTACTGTGTTTAAACCAAATTGAGCTTGTGAAAATATTTCATTCCACCTTGAGGCGCTGAATAATAAGACTGTATCATTGACGTAAGATATGATCTTGCCACCAGAGAGGGGAATAGCGCATAGTTGGTTAATATAGACAAGGAATAGGATTGATCCTAATATGCTTCCTTGAGGAACACCATATTCAATCGGTAATTCGTCACTCATAATTTTGTCAATCGTCACGCGCTGTTTTCTGTCAGAAAGATAGTCCTGTAAAAGTTTGAGCTGCATTCCTCTAATTCCAAGTACTTTTCA